GTTCTCTATATCTACCTTCGAAGTATGTTCTGAGGTTTAAAATGAAATGATACATGTTAAGTGCTTAGTACCTTATGGCCAGCACTGCTTTCTCGTCAGGTACTTAACATTCCTTCACCACTTTGAGAAACAGAACCCTTATTGTCGGGCGTAATGAGATAACAGCCATAGAAACCGCAGTTCCCTGCTGCCTTGCTGTTGGGTTGGCCAATGAGATGTAGGCTGAGTTGTTTCACTGGACGGATGAGAAAGCCCTCTAAAGTGGCTGACCTTGTTGTGAGGCTCACCCCAGCCTCCCATGCTGGTTCCCTCTTTCTCCTTCTAGTGACTATCATCTTGGAAGTAAAGCAAGCATCTTGGATCATGTGGCAGCCCTGAGGATGGAAGTTCTGTAGTAGTGGAGGTTAGCAGGAGCCCAGGTCCCAGATGCCCATGGAGTCACCATACCAGCTTAGCTCTGTATTCCATCATGCGTGAGAAAAAAACAGTCTCGTTTAGTTTTATTTTGTCTCTTTAGTATCAGAGACTGAACAAAATTCCTAACTGATACAGATAGTATGTGCTAGTCAAGAGTATAGTCCTCTTCACATCCCTTCCCTAACTCAATGGAGCTGTCTGCTCTTTGGGTCCAAGCGGTCTCCAGGCTGATCCGTCCCACCACATGAGTCACTTACTCTTTCCGGTTAAATTGGGAGGGAAATACACACACTGCAATACACTCATGCGGACGGGCATACTGATGCCATATTAACCAGGTTTTACTTTAGGAGAGACCATGAGGAGAAATCCTTACTTTAGTTGGGACTAATGCAGTGGGACCAGGTTTTACTTTAGTCAGGACCAATGTGCTGACTAGTTCTTATGACCTGCAAGAACTCATCCTTTTTTAAGGAAGTCTTCATATTATCTACGTGTTGTTAACCTGCCAGTCAGTCTTGCTCTGTTATAATGTCATGGTGTGAAAAATGAGATTAGAATTAAGGGCATGAAGAAAAGTGAGTAGTCAGGAAAAAAGAGAAGATTTTATTTTATCCTTAAGATTTTTCTATTTTTCTAAAAATATTTTTAAAAATTACTTTCCCGTAGCCAATTAAAATTTCATTCCTCAATTTAAAAATATTTTGTAAAAAAGAAAAAAGTCATGAATGTGTAATAATATCTTTTAGAGATGCAGAAAATCCAATTAGTTTTTAGTCTGGACAATTTTATATAAAGCATGTCCAATTTTATAAGAACTTTTGAATTGATATTGCTTTATTTAAAGAGATGTATGGATCAAAAGAGTGTAATTATGAAGGTAACAATCCTTTTTCCTTCACTCCTTTACTCTTAGTCATCAGCATTTTAGTAAACAAATATCTTACCTTTAAATAAACATTTCATTCTAAATATTAATATACATGAATTACATAGAAACAAATACAGAAGATATTTTTTCTTCTCAACTTATAGTGCTTTATTTTTAAATTTTTTTAAATTAAATTTAAATGCTCTTTTAGTCACTTGCCAAATGAGTAATTTAGCTTACAAACATGTATGTACTTATTTTTATAAAAAAGCATGCAGCTGAGAATAGAATAATTTACATATATATATACATGTATACTTAACATTTATAAAGCCCTAAGTCATCAAGGAAAATTTCACACACACACACACACACACACACACACACACACACACACACACACAATCTCAGCATTCAAGTCAGGAGAAAAAAACCTAAAGCCTTCAGTCAGTCTTAAAACTTTGATAGTTTTGCAAACAGTTCTAATCAGTAGCAATGGGACCATTTCTTACATGAAGCTTACAAAGTAGAATTTGGATGTTGCTGAGACAAAAGCAAAGTGATAGATATGACATCTGATAATCTTACGGATCTCCTGAGGAAATACTTTGCTTGTAAAATGAGAGTCTAATGCAGTTGTTGTTGTTTTTTACATTATTCTTATTTAACTTTAAAAGCAAGATACTAAAGAAATCATTACTGATCTACCAGATTATTTTTTAACTTGTTGAATAACTATAATCCCTGCTCTTTCTGAAAGCTGGCATTTATTAAACATGTAGAATTTTCACATGTTCCTGATGTTATTTATAATTTCAGGAGTTTCACCTAAGTCAGAGCAATACAATTTACTCTCATTGATCTTTACATGTTGCTTACTGTTTGTAGTTGCACACATCACTCATTAGTCCTTTCCATGCTGACCAAAAAAGAGAAAAGTGTGAAGAATATGCTTTTCCATGCTGACCAAAGAAGTGACAAATGTGAAGGAAAAAAATATATATATAATATATTTTATATAATTACATAAATTGCTATCTCACACATATTATTTTAAAAAGGTAATAGGGCAAAAAAAAAAAAAATTCCCACCAGGTATCTGTAAATAATCATCCCCAAGAGGACTAAAAGGAAAATAAAGTTTTGGTGCCAGACAAGATAGTATCAAGGCAAGGTCAAAGCGCTGCTCAAAAAAAAAAAAAAAAGTCAGACAATTGGTTGTTTGGGGTATGCAATTATTAATAACCAATTTGACTAATTTCACTCTGCACTAATATACAGTGCCTCTTCTGGTTATTGTAAGATCGAAGAAATGTGATCAATGGGTAAAGCTACTCTAGGTGCCTGTTGTAAATATTAAATGGAGACCCAGCATTCATCCTGAATGTCTTCTGAGTGTGAAAAAGTATCATGGGTAAATGTATGTATTCAGTAGAAAGTTTCAAATTTTCCCCATAATTAGAATTTCAGCAGTGTCTTCCCAGTGTGAAACCATGTCTTATCACGCCACTATATTCAGAATTTGTACTAAGTAAGATAGAAGTTGAAACTAACATCTGCATTTTTTGTTAACTCAACTTAAAGGCCTTCTTCCAGAGCTGGAGTTACAAACTGATAGTTTAAACAACCAAAATAAAAGAATAGACAAAAATATTTTTTTAAAGCACCCATATACATTGCTAGAGCTAAGAAGCTGATCAGCAGAAGCATTTCTCACCCCATGGGTATCAAAGTTGATCCATGCTGTGTGCTTGTTTGAATGACAATGACCTTCTCAGAGAGAGGAGTCACTTCATTAAATTAAGATAGATATTTTTACATATTTATTAAAACAAGTTTCCTGAGGAGTTCAACTAGGAAATGTTATTAACCTAGTATGCTTAAAATGTACAAAAACGAAATAAAACATCTATTTTTAAAATATTCTAAAGTCAGATTTTGCTCTGATTGGCTATCCAACTAGGGCAAATTAATGAGATTTTTCCTAACAATAATCTGAAACATAAAATTAAGTTTGGCTTTTAAAAAAAATTCTTGAAATTATCATAAATCTATGATGTCTATTGATTGGATAGTAATAAAAAAAAAAATACAGGGTGCTAGAATTGACCCTTGACTGTTTGACTCATATTAATTTCATATATCTTGCCAGAATTAACTATCTTTAACAAGTGCCTCCTACACTGTGCAATTGTAGAGGTTAGTACATTTTTCATGTATAATCTCAATGACGTGTTGCTGAAGTTTGCTTCTTCTGGGATTTGAAGTTATTTTAAATGAGAATATTTTTATCATATAAAATCTCACTTTGTCAAAGTGAGATTCCAAGACCCCTTATACTTCTCATAATGTGTAAAGTCCATTATTTGATAGGGCTGAGTGAAGCTCACAGGCCTAAGTGTTCAGCAAAAATCTTAGCTACCTAGAGAGAGAAAGGAGCTAACTGAGACTCTTTGAAGAGTCAAACATTGATGAAATAAAAACTTAAAGTAACCAAATAGGCAGAAATGATCATTCAGAAAGTGGCAATTTTGGCATAAGTATCTGAGAATCACTGTGGGACACAAGTTGAACATGAATATGCAAAACAGCCATGGAAACAAAAATGCCATTTTAGGATGTCCTAACAAGAATATGCCAGATAAATCTGTTAAAGTCAGATATCTTTTGCCAAAGCTCCATGCGGTACCAGGATAGCATAATAGCAGTGGTGAAACACAACCAGACAGTTCTGTCTTGCGCTGTGGAAAGACCTCCTGATTTGGAACTCCACCTTTAAAATTATGGGCATCGTTAGAAGGCAAGTACTAGTTAAAGCGTCTCTGAAAGAAAGAAAGGGGCACTTTTTGTTACGCATTAAAGCCGCCTTTCGAACACAACCCAAAATTCAGCAGCAAATGGTGAACCTCATCTGCCCTTAGCTTATACTTGAGGGGTAAAATAAAGTTTTCATTCTTTGTTTCTTTACTGGAATAAAATATCAGGTGTCGTAGAAGACCTGAGGACACCCCATTTCCTAGATTGCTTTAAAGGTCAGAATTAGAAAATTAAGGAGTAGATGGAGATTGATTTTACATGAGTGGGAGTGATAAACAGGCCCTTTTGCGTTTTGTGTCATTACTACTCACGTGATGATGTCGACAAATATCATGCAGAAATCAAATATAAGGTCATCTCTGATGGGCTGATAGCGACCTCTCAGAGAGCTGTTTGAGGAGAGCATGAGGCTTGACTTGCTTGGCAGGAAAGAATACTGAGTGCAATAAGTGACATCTTCCACAGACACGGATATTTCCTATTCCTACTGTTTGTTTCAAATGACCTTAAAGATCTCAGAGAAATACAAGGGTGACAGTTGACCCCCAATTGCACTCCCTACCTCCCTACCTACCACATGCAGGGGAGACCTGGTGAGAACAAGAATGAGCTTCAGGGAAATGCAAATTAGTAGGTAGTTTTAGCTGAGAAGGAAAACGTTTGCTCTTTCATTGAATATTCCTGTTCCTCTGAGATGTTTCAAGGGTGACTGGATCTAGCCAACTCCAGGTCCACAAACAGCATCTCCTCAGGACTGTGGACTCTTACTGCTGCATCTTGGCAGGCAGAAACGAGCTTATCAACCTCCTGGAATGGTGTACACTGTAAAACACTTGGTTTGCTTGCTGTCTTTTCCATGAAATACTCGCCTTGA